TTGTCTCTATTTATAGACAGTATGTCTAACTGTGGACTGATGAATAGCTAAACTCAGGATCTACCTCATGTAATTCCATCTGTACTGTTTACATGCATAATTGCACACTCACTACTGAGTATTTACACTCCACGGCTCCCACGTAGCATATATTCTCCCTACATTATATTGTGTTCTTGTTGTATTTTTATTTGCTTCCTTCACTTGCTGCTTTAAAGTGCCTTAGATTTGTGATTTTACTGCCTATTTAGATGTGTTATTGCTAATCTACTTTATATTTAACTTGTATTTTGTGGCATTCATGTGGACGGCAAAGTAAGAATTTCATTGTAGAGGGAAACATGTTTCCTAACTGTGCATATGACAAGTAAACACTTTGACCTTGACCTTTAAAGTCTTTGGGCTGACTCTGTAAGCCTTTCCAGCTAGATGCAAACTCCAGATTGTAGGTCTTCTGAGATTTGCTTTTTTGTGAGGCATGGCTCACATCAGCTGATGCTGCTTGTGAATAGCACACTGACACGGTTTGAGTGTTTTTGTAAGTCAAATTAATAAACCACACTTCCATTGGCTGTGTTTTATCAGCTTAGAAATATTATGTTTGTTGATATTTGTGATTTTGGTAAAAATTAGATCACATTTCATGACTAATTTATGCAGAAACCAGAAATGTGTGAACTGTGCCATTCCTCAATAAAAATTCTAATCCATTTTCTCTCTTTTGTCATCTTTTTCAATTCATGTTTCTCTTTATTTTTATTTTCAGTGCTTTCTCAAAACCCCCTTCCTCTCCTTACTCACTCTTCCTTTTCTTTCTCTTTCTCTTTAAGTTTTTATCAGATTAAACCAGTCACAGTCTTTAGGTGAATCATCTGAGAAGTTCCCGACAATTGTCAGGTTTAACCTTGGCTGCCTCCATGTGCATTCAATGAAGTGATAGGGAAAGTTTTTGACTGTTTTAATGAACACTGACTTAGTCATTTTTATGCTTCTATTTTCTCATGAAAAGGTGACCAACCATTGGAGTGTGGTAAGAAAACAATGCCATAAAATAACACCTGCAGACGTGTATTCACAGCCATGTGACACATACAGTTTTCCTGCTCTTTTCCATCACATCAGACACTATTAGTCGTTAATATAATCACTCTTTTCCCATCTGTACAATCACTATAAGTGAATACCTTTCTGAATCATCCACGTTTAAATCAATTTTCCCAGCTGTGTGTTCCTGTCTCGAAGCTCACATCATAGTAAATTAGCACAGAGGTTATACTTGTTCTGTGTGTCATGTAAACACATGGAGAAGCAGCTTCTTACACCAATCAACCATAACATTATGACCACCTGTTTAATACTGTGTACACAGGAGTTAATGCAGCAGTTGGTTGTCACTCGTGTCACTCAGCAGCAAACTGTGCATCTTCTGTGAATCTGTTTTGTTAGTAATTTAGCTTAACATGGATTACAGGATCTAAATAAGTTGCATGTAACAGCAGGTACTATGCAAATTTACACACCATTAAAGATGTGTTAAGCTAAAGTTAGAGTGTAGATGTTAGTAATTACTCTTGCCACCATAAATACAAGACAAACCCACCTGATTCTTTATGAAGACTGTACCATATTATGATGTTGCAGTGTGTGCAATGTTCACCTGAGCCTGTAAATAAAGTAGTCAGCCAACTAAAAAAGTCAACAACTCACTTTCACATTTGGTTCTGTAGTTATACTCTCAGGAAGAGTACAAATGTGTTAACCATTCAGTGAAAACTGTGGCCATGAGTACAAGTTGGACGGTGTTTTTAGACAAATTTAATGGCCTCCTCGCCTTAGAAGTGATATCACCAAGAAAGCCTCCATCAGTGGACTGAATGACTGCAGACCTGTCACCCTGACATCTGTAGTCATGAAGTCCTTTGAGATAAGGACATCATAGGTTTGGCTCAGCAACCAAACATTTTGTAACATTTCAACACAACTTGAATTCTAGGACCAGACTGTTCATGCTCTTGCTACTTCACTGGAGCCAGTTACTAGAAGACTGTAGCTTTACTGGAGAACTCCCAGCTTGTGTATGTGTTTGTAACAGGCATGGTCCTTGCTACACATATGGATGTAAAGAAGGCAGAGCTATGTACTAGCTGCATTCACATGATATCACACAGTGTTAGTGTTTAGGTTTCGCTTTCATTTATCTGTACAGGACTAGATCCCAAATAAGAAATAGTGGAGGTTAACATTTTCAGCTTTTCTGTGCAGGTGCCTGATACTCTATTTTGTAACTTCAACAGCAAATGTTCTAAATATTCGATATGTGAAACTCTTCCTGACCTTCTCGCTGTCTTCAGTATGTTTCTGTGCCAGAACTCGGTAGATTCCTAGATAGGGAATATAAAATTTCAAGCTGTTGGTCTATAAGCCCGGGGGTGTTGGAGGGAGTGTTGTAAAGTCATTTAGAGTACCATGACCTCTGCTGAAGGCCTCCGCACACAGACACACAAGCTTAGCTGATCTATCTACCCTTCAACACAAGACCAGGCCTGATAGCACACGCAGTTACTGCAACATTTGTGTGTGTGGGCAGCTTCTAGAGTTAGATGATGAAATGGCCACTGTCACATCTGATAGAAGTCACAGTGATGCTGATGTGAAAAACATTTCATTCTATATAGGTGGTTTCCCTTGCTTCAGTGGAAAGTGTTTGAAGTACAAAGAGGCAGAACTGGCTCAGTCATAAATTAAAACACTCCATTTTTCATAATTTGTTTTGACTAAATCACAGCAACTTTTTCAATTTGCAGTGAAGCCATGTCTTCCCCTCCCTGCCTTCTTTCCTTGGTTTGTCACTTATGTTCAGCATTTATGTAACTTGGTAATCTCTGGGGATAAGGGGAGCTTTGACCTTCCTGGGTGTGGGTACAAGGTGGGGCTGGCACTTTTGGGAGTCTGATTGGTTCCAGTGTTTTCACATCAACACAATTTTCTCTTCAGCCATGACTTGGGGAACAAACTGTGTCACTGGTCCATGTTGGGTGGGTCCACACATCATAAAATCACCAAAACATTTTAACATGCCTGGCTCAAGTACAACATTAAATTTATGTTACCTCAGGTCTGGGCTTTAAAAGTATATCAAATCAATCTTGAAAAACAATTAAATGTCTGTTACGATACTGTCTCCCTGCTTCTTTTGACTACCCTAGATATGTGCAGACAGCCTGCTGTCATTTATCAAGTCAGGAAGTGTCTTTGTTCTGGCCCCCGACAGGCTGTGTATATTCAGTGTGCTAAAGAGTGTAGACAACGGTGATAAAGAGAGACGGAATTTTTGTCTTGTAATTATTTTCCTTCCTAATTTTCTTCTTAGGCCTCACTTTTAAAGCAGTAGCTAATTATTGAGCTTTCGAGTTGTTGGTTGGTGGATTAGCTTCAGAAAGAGCTAGGGCAGCTGTTTCTAGTCTTTATGTAGTCTGTAGGTAACAACCTACTGGCAGCAGTTCTATATTTGGCTCTTCTGTTATCTTTTGTTATCTTTTTGTCTATTAATGTATGCATTTATTCTCCTTTAAATGATGTTTTTATTGTAACCTAGAGCATATGTTGTAGAAAGGTGCTCTAAAAAATTAGAATTATTACATTTAGTGTATAGACATAAAAATGGTATCGATCTTCTGATCTAACTCTTGAAAATAAGGCAAATAAACGTATTTCCCCAAACTTTAGTCTGATCTTATAACTAAAATCCTGCACACTGGAAAACCTGCAGCAGTAGAGGACAGACCTAGGACATCTGTTGGACAGTGCTGGACATCTGTGTTTGGTCCTGGTCTGCAGGTGAAAACCTGGGGTGGTAGTGTACATCCAGCTCTTGTTTTCCCGGGTGGTCTGTATTTTCAGTCTGAGGTGGTGAAAGCCTGCCGAACCTTGGTGCACTGAGTGGAACCCAGAGAGGCGATGATGATTCTGTGTGGTAGTGTAGCGTATCAGAATATATATATAAACAGTAAGAATGTGGTGATGTGTGCTCTTGGTGCTCAAGCAATTTTCTAACTACTTTTTTGTGTTTGGTAACAGAAGAGCAGAATATACAAATACTGTATGCTGTATAATGGCTGTCTTGATAATCACAAACTAAGATTGCACTTAGTGACAAGAAACCAGTTTAGTCTACAAGAAGAGGAATGCAGAAAATAAACAGCTCAGCATGCAGAATAAAGTTCTTGTCAGTGAACCTAGTTTGTGATTTTCAGAATATAGCACATACTTGTGGCTTAGCATTTATTGTTTATGTCTGCATGTATATTTCTGTACACAGCCTTCTAATTGCATCCAGCATACCCCTCTTTATTCATTTCCCTCTTCCTGTTCTGTGTTTTCAGTTGACAATCTGACTCTACAGACCGTTTGCTGTGGAGAATAACCTCTAGCTGAAACAGGAACCAATTCACTAAAGAGCACATTATCATTATGGTTCATATTGCACATAAAACATAGGTGGGAGTGAATTTTTTGGTTTTTGTCACTTCATGCCACCAGAAGTGGCCAAAGAATGTCTTTATGTTTGCTGCCACCAACAAGAAATGATGGGCTTTTACTTTGGACTGGTGACAACAGGGTTTTATTTAAGGAAACTGGAAACCACTAAACCTATTAGATCTTAAGTATAAAACACAGGATTGTTTTAAATGCTTCTGTGGCCAACCTAAGCACAGTGTCTGTGAAACGAATGAAGGAAATGTGTTATGAGCATCAAACAAGTCAATAAAAACACATTACAAAGGTTAAAACAGATGATGTTGATGACTACCGATCTTAAGTACAAATCCAATTAAACTGCAATTCTTCTACAGTGCTTATGCTGAGAAGTAAAAGAAAACTATCAGTATTTAACTTGGTAATAACTATTTTTTTTCACTTCCTGTTCTGTATTATCTGTATTTCTTTCTCTGTGTGGATAATGTTGTGACACTGTGTTTGTGTATGTTTCCATCCCACAGTGGAGTACGACAGGGATCTTTCTCCACAGCGCCGTCACCACAAGGAGTTTAAGTTCAACCCCTCACAGATCCCTGAGGGCGAGGCTGTCACCGCAGCAGAGTTTCGCCTCTATAAGGAGTGTGTGAGTCACTCCTTCCGCAACGACACCTTCTTACTCAAAGTCTATCAGGTGGTCAAGGAGCACCCTGACAGGTAACACGCACAAACATAGTGCTCAACTTTTAAGATAACTGGTTTGAATTCTTGCACCAAGAAAGAAATGCAGAGCGAGGCTCTCACTTCACCCAGCAACCTCCATTACTGTATATTTTGATTTCCCCTTATTCCCCCCATGATTAACCTTTTGTTCACACTGGACATATAAAGTACTGTACCTCATTATTCCAGTACTTTCTCTCTATCATTCTTCCTGTGTGTTACACAGACTCTAGATTCTTGTCCTGTTCATAATGTAAAATCAAGCAAAACCCACATCTTACAGAAATAGCACAGTTTCAGCTACCATCCCCAAATGAGCACAGCTAATCCATGCCAAACATTTACATTACATCTGCAGGGATAGATAAACATCCAGTAAGATTTCTGAAAGATATCTGTGTTTTATCAAACCTGCAAAGCCAAAGTGATAAGCAACACTAACATGAAGAGAATGTCTGATTCATGTTTTTAGGCTTATGTAGGCCTGTATATTTTGGTTAACAAAGAATATACACCAGGCAACTTTAGCCAGTTTAGGGACCCATTATATTTGATCATTATATTTTGTGTTAAATAATAGAAAGAAACAATATCTTTAGGTGGAGTCTTTAACACCAAATGAGAGCTGGACTACCAAATGTTCTAAGACTAAACCTAAGCCGCTCTGAGGTCCTTGGATTGAAAAGTATCATGACCTGAGCTGTAAATGTTAGCACAGTACTTACCTTTTGAACACTTTGTTGTGTGTTAAATTTTTAATTGCTAAATTGCCATTGCTGACTTCTGTCTACACTTAATAACCTATAATAAAACATGTTTATTTCAAATATATTAATAATCAAAAACTGAAATCTCTCTTGAGAAAGGTATTTTGACCCATAATTCAAGACTTAGTAGAAGCCCCTTTGGCAGCAATTACAACTTTACATCTTCTTGGATAAGTCTCCACAAGCTTTACATATACTGTATCTGCAGTTTTTGTGTTATTGTAGGATAGGATTTTTGCCTTGAAGAAAATTACAGTCTGTATAGTGCATAATCAGGTGGAGAAAAATGCCATGCTGTGTTTATGCTTTGTAGGAATACATTCGAGCTGCAGCATGCATTCACTGACAATACTAGTATTAATGTTTTGACATTAAAGTTATAACTGAAGAGTTTTAGATTCTTTATTATCCTCCAGTTTTGAATGAGGTTTGATGGTTTATCCAAGAAAATGCTTTAGTCTTTAACATTTATTTACTTTTGCAGAACTGTACTTTTGTAATTGCCATCCTTCCTGTAAAAACCTGACTCCCATTTTGACTTTAAGCTGTAATGACAGATTTGTAAACTACCCCTTAGGTACGCACGTATTTGCATCCATTTATAGTAAAGTAAAAAAGTAATTTTCTTATTGTATGGAGAATTTCTTCATCCTATCCCTCTAGATGTCTACATTTCATTACAGCAAAGCATATTGTATCAAAAAACACAACTTTGACCCTTGACCTTATTATTCCAGTGCCTTTAAAGCAGTCATTCAATAAGACATTTTGCATTGGGGGTGTGCCCTGCAGGCAGCTCTCTGATTTGCCCCTGCTATGTGTGACGATGAGGCGGAAACATCACTGGCCCATGCTGTGACAAATATATGAATTTAGTAGGGTGAAGTGTAGGTGAGGTAAAACTGAATGTAGACACTCATACAGAAGACACACTCTCATTAATGACAATTAAGAGGCCTGCTCAGGCATGACCTCAGGGGCATTCTCTGAACACCTGGGTGATTGTGAGGCTTTGATGTCGGCTCCGGAGGAGGTCCAACAGATCCGACGCTATGTTATTACTCCTGTAATAGGGCAGTGGGAGGACAAGCCCTCTTATTGCTCAGACTGTGTCTTTTCTGCATGTCTTATACTCTCTTTTCATTAAACACTCCAAAGGCATATTACACAGTCCTATTCTTCACATTTTACATGGCCCTCCATTTTGAAAGACCCATTTCATTCAAAATATTGTAAGTGGTATTAAAAAATACCTGCAGCCCGATAGTAAAGTTTTAATTCCTTCTTTTTCCCTGTCCCTCAGAGAGGTAGATCTACAGGGGAGTGCAGAGCAGTGTATCCCAGCATTTTCTGTTTAGTGGGGCTATCTTCCTCTCCTTTTGTTATGATACTGTTACCCTGATACAAACCAAGCTCTTGTGTTTCCCTTGGTTTCTGATGACTCTGTATGGTGGGTCCCGGCCCAAAAGGGATGTAAAATGACCACAAAAGACTCAAAATTACTTCAAAGTGATAAAAATACCCATAAAAAGAAGCAATACAGCCATAAAGATATACAAAATGAGAAAAACTAAATTAAACCATAAAGACAATGCACACAAGAACTACAGAAGATGGAGGCCCCCACCCTCCTATGTACAGAAGGGCCTCCATACTGACATGGGGGCCCATTGTCTCAATCTGTTCACTTGTTTTCCCAGTTGTCATTATATGGCTATTATTCAGTACATAATGACTTGCACTTCTGATTATTTTCCTACTTTCTTATTTCGTTACTGGTCTGCCTTTCTTTTTTTTTTGGATTGTCTTTTTATACTGTATCATTTGAAAAATAACAACCTGCTAATTTTGGCATATTCATTGTGACACATGATATTGACACTTGGGTTGCCACATGTTTAACTGTGGAGTCAAACAAATGTTAAGATGTCTGTAATATTCTTTTTTTAAAGTTTAACCTAGACTTTTTGATAGTTGCCCAAAAAAAGCAACTTTAAATTTCATAATTTTTGGTGTTAATAAAAGCCAAAATGCTTACTAACTAGCTTCTTCTACTTCTCTAACTAGCATAGCATAGCTGTTTTGAACTTTAAAGGTCACCTTAGCTAACCAGCTAAAGGGATTTGGTGCAAGGTTTCAGAATGTTTTCTAATTTCTCTTCCATTTATTATTATTATTATTTTTATTAGATGACAGCCTAGCATTACAAAGTGTAGGCAAAATGGGTTTTTGTTTAATTATTGTCACCCAGTTTGACTTTGATGATAATGTTGTATCTCTCAAACTACTTTCTCTTTTGTATCATCTCCCACATCCTCCCAGAGAGGCAGACCTACTCCTGCTGGAGTCTCGCAGGCTGTGGGCAGCTGAAGAGGGCTGGCTTGAGTTTGACATCACTGCCACCAGCAACCTGTGGTTGATGAATGCAGCACACAACCTAGGCCTGCAGGTCAGCATGGAGACTAGCAGCGGTAAGAGATCTTCATGGGCTGACCACCCCCAGAATCAGATTGGACATCCCTACCATAGTCAAAATGTGATGCTTGACAGTATTATTGAATGGAAGATGCAAAACAATAACACATTTTTCTGGTGCTTTATAATTGATGTTGGTCAAATTAGTTTTATATAATGCATGCAGCATGATATTTGCATTCAATGGGGCAGCAGTGATGTCTCTGGCCAGGATTAAATAAGGAGCAAGAAAAGTTAGCTAAAGAAAGCGCTATGTACTGTATATCTCTTTTTTACACAAAATAAACTATTTGATTCTTAATATATGATTTATTATTACATAAAACTAAGGGTCTAATTGACCTTTTGTGTGTATTTCAAATGTGCCACCCCTCTTTTAAAGCACAGAATGCACACAGTTTTACGACATAAGCTCATTGTCCAGTGAACACATTTTGCCACTTCTTGAGAAAATAACTAACTAAAAACAATGTAGTTTCAAGAACTGGTTCAAATCAGCGCAACCATAGTGGTAAATCTTACTGTATCCACTCAAACAGGACAGAGCATCAGCTTCAAGGAGGTGGGGCTCGTGGGCCGTGACGGTGCACTGGAGAAGCAGCCTTTTATGGTGGCGTTCTTTAAAGTCAGCGAAGTGCACATCCGCACCACCCGCTCAACTGGGGGCAAACGTCGCCAGCAGAATCGCAACCGATCCACACAACCACAGGAGGGATACAAAGGGCCCCCTCCACCAGGCCAGTCTTACACCCCTCTAGACAATGACTGAATCTTAACCGACCTCATTACACAGTGTATCCATGAACAAAATCAAACCTCCAAACTGAACTCAGCCTTACCTCATTACATTTATAAGTGATCATTGTGTACATTGGGTGGGTGGCACCCCTAGCATGTGTTTGAAGTCTGGGTAAAGTATTTCTCTTTGAGATCCTTGATATATTGGACTGGTCTCCAGCTGAATCTCTCTGTAATCAGCCCTCATCAGACAAATATCCCTCAGTATGAGACAGATGGGTGGTGTTAGTGAGAGCAGAGAAAGGAGTTTAAGAATTGAGGTCAGACAAAATTGAAAAGAATTTCTGTATGATAAGTACACAAAATAGCAAACCAATACATAGTGAATAGTTGATGAATTAAGATGAAGATGACAAATCCATCTTGACAGGTGACCTTATCCTCTGAATCTCCTCATTAGTCCTCTCTGCTCCTTGATCTACTCACACATGATGTAATGAGCAGGTATAACCTCTGAAAGCTTTTCATATTAGATCAAACACTACTCTGCCCACCTTTCACCCGCTGTATAGGTCTGTCCAGACTTTATAGCGCCTGAAGATAAGCTGCTCTCATGAGGCTTCATTGTGTCAGCACTATAGTAACTGGCTAATTTGACATATGAAGCATGTTAATATTAAGCCTTCACAGCTCAGAGTTTTGACTCTGCTTTGTATCAGAAGTAAGGCCCGTATGCAGCAGTAAATAAATTGTCCCCTGCAGACAAACACCTCTATACATATTGATGATAGTTCTAAGTATTCATATACTCAGTCTTCTTATATCCGATGCCAGAATTCTTGATTTTTGTATGCAAGCATCGTCGGTGTGTTTCCCAGTAGGTTACACTGTGCTGTTGTTAACACGGGAGGTTGGAAGTTGAATTCCTGTAGGGCTTTTTTTAAATAATTGCAGTAGATGAAAGCTTTGGCTGACATAACAGAGAACAAAGACTCATCATTTGTTATGCTACAGGACAGTTTGAGGGTACCACATGTTCAGTTTTGGCTCCAGAACTAGTCTCTCCTCTACTCAGCTGTCACCTTTGGCTCGAGATGTCCTAAGATTTCTTAAGACTTTTAAGTCAAGATGTTTGGAAGATACTGATACTGGGCTATGCTGGTGGATCAGATGGCTGTAGCGCACACCATGTGCTCACAATGTGGATCAACATTTCTGTGATGGGTGTCATCTCTGTTCTTTTTCAGTGTTTGAGGGAAAATTTATGACAAATGTAAACAGAAAACTGCTCAATGCTATCATATATCACAATCTGCTGCTCAGCTACTTTTATAAACAAATGAACAATTTAGGTTGACTGTAGTCTATCTACTTCAGTGACCCAGTCTTCATCAGGAAGATTGAGAAAATATTCTGTGAATTGAGTCTGTGCAAAAATCTGCACTACCAAGGACAATCTGTTAAATATGCGTCCTGGAGGATTGGACTTTACATAACCCAAAACATCAAGCCCTCTCTGCCTTGCCATTTGGGACAACTGGAAGTGTAAATATTTAGATCCTACACAGGAAGTGAGGAGGCCCCCCTCGCGACAGCCGAGTGTCCGCAGCCAGCAGTGGACTACTGAGACTGGACGTGATGGGAGGATCCATGAGGAATTCAGGAGGGCATATGGTTTCAATACTGCATCACTCACTCCAGAGACAGGGAGGAGGGCAGGATAGAGAGCATCCGTCCTATGAGTGCTCATGGGGAGAAACAAAATGTGGACGTTGTCCCCTCATTTGTGTTTGGCACACAGCTACAGTCATCAGTTCAGGCCACCACAGCTCCAGCTAAAAGGAGCATTTCACCAAAAATTCACCCCCCAATACTTTTTGAGGGGAAAAAACCCTGTGATCTGAGGCCAGGAGGCAGCATCGTGTTTGTTTTTAATTACTTTAGTGTGAACTAGAGGCTTTAAAAACTTCCTTCAGCAGTTGCCTTCATGTGTGTTCACTAAAAATAGTTTCTCTTCTCTGCCATAACTGCACACTCCTGACCTGAGTGGTGAAGTACTGCACTGGTTTAACAGCATCTCTCTCTCTTTTATCAGCTTGGTGCCGTTTTGTCCCAGTATTTACACTTACTGACATCTTATAAATTTGGCTTTAGTGCTTTGCTTTGTCATAAATTAGTAAAATGCATTTGTCAGTTCACTAAAATGTAAAACAACCTTTTAAATAGAAACTTGATTCCTTGAGGGGGTTTTGGTTGTTCTTTTCTCATTTTCACTATTTTATCAAGCTGAATTTAATATGACATGCTATTATTCCAGTTTTTTTTAAAAGTACAAATTCAGGCAAATATAATTATTCAGGGTTAGTTTTGAGACAGTGTTGTGATTATACTGTATGTAGCTATAGTAAATGATACAGTACATCAGTTTTTTCATTTTTCAGTCAGAAAAGCAGACAGTTTGCAGACCAAGCCGGGTTTGTATATCTTGTTTGCTTGTTTAATGGGCCAACTGGTCAAGTGCTATTTTCATGTAAATTTGGAATTATGAGTAGAATACATGGATATTTTTGTCAACAGGTTGCTTCTGCCCCCTCTGGGTGTGGTAAATGCTGCTGTGTACCTTGCCAAAAGAACAATACAACACATTTAAAGGTAATTTAAGGGTTTTGGGAACGAAGAAGGCTGGGGAGGTAATGTTTGTCTGGTTGGGCTTTGGCTGAAGTTAACCATCTGGGGAAGGAATATCACTTCCTAGCACAGCACAGTGGCCTGTAATTAGGCCTAGTCAGTCATTAGCTGCACGGCTAAAAGACTGACTGTGCTAACAGTGCTTCTTAAAGAATTATAATGATGTGGTGCTTGGCCTCCTCTTCTCCCTCCCCCTCCTTTTCTGTGCGCTCCCTCCCCACCCCAACCTCTTTTTGTTTACCACTGGAGTAATTAGACATAACAGAGCTCCCCTGCAAGGTTTAATAACCTCTATGATGAAAGACAAGAAGAAAGATAAACTTCAGTAGTCGTGGTTGGTGGGAGTGAAAAGAGAGGAGAAACATCTTCAAGTCTTCATAGCTGTCAGAGCACACTCCTTCTTTCTTCAAGGCTGAAGACCCAGATGCTATTTTAAACAATGGACCCAGAGAACCCAAGTTTTCTGTTACCACTGCCGCCGCCTCTATGGGAGTTCATGTAATTGTTACTGTAAAACTTAGTCTTTTCTTGTTCCAAAAATGAGTCCTGATTTGAGCAAACTACAGACTTAGAGTGAAGTGGTTTGAGAGGTTGTGGCCTATGTCTAAATGACACACACACCCACACACACTTCTTACATGGAACACCTGGGCTATAAAGTCTGAAACAGTACCATTTGATTCTTGTATTACATAGAACAAGCTGTGATAAAAATAATTTATAGCCTTTTCTTCCTGATAGAGGGGCTGGTGAAAGTTGTTTCTTGGGCTTATTAAAGAGCACATAGTGTAGTGAAGAGTCAATATCAGCCCAGGACTCATACAGTACAGTATATAGAAAGTCTCATATTTGTCTCTTCCTTCCCACTTTTGCTTTTAATCAAGGAACGGAAAAGAAATGAATGGGGGCCTAGAGGAAGCCGGAGCTTAGCAGTAGCTGTGTGGCATTAAATTTTTACAAGCAGGAAGGGGAGATGTGGTTTATGGGCCCCACAAATCTGGGCTTTACACTCAGTGAAAGCCCACAGTAAATATCAGCTTTATTCCTCTTAGAGAGACCCACAGACTGTGACTGCTGATGGCTTTGAAGGCAAAGAGGAGCAGGGAGAATTAGCTGTGTGCTTGTGAAGAAAAGGGAATGTTGTGCTAAACACTGGGCTTTGTGCCGTACAACATACAAGATATACTTTTTGGGGTTACTGCTTGTAGCATACACTTAATCGATATAACATTTCTAATACATAATAGAACACTCTTGTTATTTGAAATGCATCCAAACATTTCATTTTGGTACAACTTGAAAAATATACTTTTTTTTTCTTAGCATCAGCCTGTGTATACTGGCTTCAGAGAAAGAAATCTGAGGAGATTCATTGGCCCTGCCTTTAGACACAGATGCCTAATGATTGATTGTGTTAATGCTGCTGGTGTAGAGGTCTGAATAGTGTGTAGTTAGCGTTACAGCTTCACTAGCACTCAATCCTGTGCTGTGATTTGACCTGAAGCTGAATGTCATGCATCATAAACCAGACCTGGATGAGAGAGCATGGAGCTCTCTGCGAGAGTGTGTGAGAGATGCAGTTTGGGACAGTGTGTTTATGCCAGTGCAGGACTTGAGTTTGGCTTTTACAGTGACGTGCTGACTGGCACATAGATGCTGAGGTCAAAGTTATTAAAGCTGCAGCGGTTCCTATCGCGTTTCCTTTCTTTATAAATTTCAGCTCAAGTTCACATCAGGGCAGCTCACTCAGCCAATCAGGTTTATTCTTGGAGTGGCACATTTCCTCTGTCCTTGGATGTTTCCTGCATATAAAAACTGTACACACTGTAGCAGACCTATTAACTAAGGTCTTCATACAGTAAAGCTGTTACTGAAGACGTCAGCAGGTCAGTCAGTCCACAGGGAGGCACAACGAACATGTGACCCACTTTCCATGTGTATCATCTATGCACACACATGGAGATGTACATTGAGCCTACATGCATGCTTGAGTGCACGTATACACATGAAGACATACACACTGGAAACCACACACATATAAACTGTATTTCCACATTAGCGGACACCCAGCGAGCTGCCCTTCCTTTTGGAAAGGAAGGAATCCTAAACTGGGGAAACAGCTGACTGTATACGACGGCCTCACCCTGTCGTGACTAGTCTCACCTTTAGTTTCCTGTCTCCTACTGAATCAACAGGAATACTTCTTTTCCAATGATTTAAAAAAAAAGGTTTAAAGATGTTGATCTCATTTGATCTACATTGGATTTGGTCGATAAAGAGATAGTAAAAATGTGGCATTATTGTGGGTTACATAGTGATTCTTATGTTTGTGTCACCTACTATAGTCATTTATTGTATTTATTATTGTACTATACTATAGAAAAAGTTTCTAAATGCTTTTACACATAGTGCCTTATTCTTGTAGAGCACCTGCACATTTTAAGGCAGTGTTAGTGCCACACACTACTACTTTCTCCCTCCCTCGAGCTGAGATGACAAACCAAACTTGCTCTCTCTCGCTCTGTCTCTCCCTCTTTATACTTGAGGTGAGTTCAGCTCAAACACACGTGTGGTCTGTGCAGTCCGGTCTGCAAGTCTGTTCAAAATGAAACTTGATTTGATGATGAAATCTTAATGCAACTAGCACTGGTGAACTTAAATTATAACTCTTCCTTTTAATGAGCGGCTAAGTGTAATTTGCCCGTTAACCAGATAAACATTGGGTCATTTGTGTGTGTCTAAGAGTGTGCGTTTGTGTATGTAGTGTAAATGTCACTGGTAATGAATGATAGAAGGAGAGACGAAGGAACCAACGTCAGTGAAATCCCTTACATAATTGTAATGTGTTTGAATATGCTGTACATCTGGTGTGTGTCCAGCTCCAGCTGACTAAACAAGGTTACTGGTGGTGAGTTACTGAGGTGAGTGGCTGGGTGGTGGCTGTCACTGAGTGACAAATCCCTGTCTACAGTCTGACTCACGCTCTCACTGACAGACAAGCACACTAACCTTTTTGAAAAAATAAAATCATACAATGCGATTAGCACAGAGATAAGTCTAGACATTTCGTTATTTACTTGTTTAGATGTTATATGACAATTGTTTCTTGCAATGCAAACAGTTCTTCTCTATGATTGTCCATAAGAAGAAAATGTTTGTATGGATTGACAGGATAAGTGGCCACACCATACAGGCAGACATGAGCAAATTTGAAAACTCTCAGCTGGCTGTCTTACCTAAAACTACGTACAGCCTTCAAGCTGCAAGCTGCTTGCAATGTACAAAGTTACTGTAGCCTACTGTAAATATCTTAAGCAGTAACTCAAGATGGAATCAGAAACCCAATTTGTAACTCCAAGGAAACAGGTAACCACTATAGGTTTTCTCTGGCAGTCAGTTAATGGTTTTGTAATTAGATTTGCAGCGTGAGAATGTGCAAACCAGCAACCAGCTGCAATTAAAATCACTTGTGGGCTCTGAGCTTAAGCATTGCTTAAAGGCATCATGGGGCCACTAAGGCATGCTAAATTTGCTTTAATGTTATGGTGGCTGTTAAGGCACATGGATGGATGAGAATCTTTTGGGAATACAAGACACTAACCGGTTCCATAGATTTCATTATCACTCTTATTGTCTTTCTCTAGTCCACTTGTGAAGAAAACAGCCATCTCAAAATAATAAAATCAATGAGGCAAGACAGAGAAAGTAAGTGTGAGTGAGCGCTTGAAATGTCAGTGGAAAGTCACTGTCTTGACTTCATTGTGTTGACTGACGCCAGCAATGACCTACTCGACTAAAAAGCAAACCTATACCTGGGACTGTTTGCAGCTGTCCATCCTGCTGCTGGGCAGCTGCAGAACGGAACAGAGATAATTAAGGCCTGCAGGGCAGGAGAGCCCGTAAACACAGGTGTCACAGTGTCACCAATTCCAAGCAGTATTTGAAGGCTGATGAATTCAGTTAGGCGTGCGTTCAAATGCATTACACAGCAGATGAATGCGAAGCACGTACGGTGAAGCGAGTGCTCTCGTCTACGCCCTCACATGCCTCTCCACCCAGTGCATTACATGAGGCGTATTGTGTTATTCTTTTGCTCTCAGATTCATAATGTCATGCGTCACTTTCACAGGGTTTAAGTGCTGAATGAATTTTCATGTCACGTAGGAAGCCACATGCACAAGTTCAGGGCCATGGTGTAATACTGGTGTGTGTCTGCGGTACCTTTTAAAGATTTAATTATCTGATCTTTTTTTTTATTTCTCTGTTGCAGATTATAACAGCAGCGACCAGAAGACGGCGTGTAGAAGACATGAGCTCTATGTCAGCTTCAGAGAGCTGGGCTGGCAGGTAGCGATCCAAACAAGTCCTGATACACACGTGGTGATTATGTGACCCTCATGCTTTGTCTCTTCAGGGCCAATTTGATAGTCTCATCAGTGTTTACATACTTTATGTAGAGCAACACTAGAGGCCAAGAAAGTCATTAGAATTTTCAAATTGTAATTTGGTATATTGATGACACATAGATAAATAATACTGGATGTACAGTAAATCTACATTTGACTGTGATGATTGTGCATTTCTTCCATAATCAGGTCTATTGTGTACAACAAGTGATTACACAGCTAAATATGTCAGAATGCTCTTTGGAGTTTGTTTGCAGTGTGGTGATAGTGCCACTTGTCCAGTGCTCTACCCTACTGCCAGGCTAATATGAAACCGGTACTACAGTACCAGTCAGGGGTGGAAGAAGCTCACAAAGTCAATTATAGTAGTTTGGTGGGAGAAGACCTAAGTCTCAGTCTGCAGGTTTGTGTGTTTACTTGTGTTTGTGCATTTAGTAGGTGACAGACAGAGGAAGAAATACAATAGAAGGGTTGTGCGCATCTTTCCAGACAAACTGTGAGCTGTCAACACAGCACTGACATCTAGAGGGAGACTACCAGCACACGCTGTATCACATACACAAAGCAACACACAGGAAGCGATCTCGACAGAAATAAAGGGACATGCAGAGCAGACATTAACACAGACAGAAGGGCACACCAGATAAAAACATGAAAACATGTCCAACAGCAGCAAAACATGCAGAGAATATGTGAGTGAGACAATAATATACAGAGAGGAGGGGTGGTGGAGAGACTTATGGTTTCCCTCAGAGATTCCACAGACAGACAAGTGTTTGAGCAGATGAGGTAAACATTGTTTAGTCAGTTGTTTACAATGATGCAAAGATATGCACACTAGTATTGTGGAATTGCCAGATGCAACCGTTTTAGTATTTCAAAACACAGATATATACCGTCTTACCTCTATAATAGGCCTTTAGAACACTGGGATGTTTAAAATGAATTTCCACCTGCTCTGTGCTGCTGTCATGTGTTTCTCTAAGGATTGGATCATTGCTCCTGAGGGCTATGCAGCCAACTACTGTGATGGAGAGTGCTCCTTCCCACTTAACGCCCACATGAACGCCACCAACCACGCTATTGTGCAGACACTGGTAAGGCCCTCCCACAGGAGGATATCTTCTTTGACATCATTCTTTGATGGTCATGCATTTGTCATACCCTTATCATGTCTGCATCATTTGTTGTGTTGATTAAAAGACCTTGCTCAAACATGATTTTTAACATACTAAGAGACCGTTGGGTCTTTTTAAGGTTTTAAAAATCAATGAATATTTATTGTAATCTAATTATTAATAAAGGAGCACTCCACTGATTTTTACACATGAAGATCAGTTTGCTTGTCCTTAATAGTACCGCTAAACCTGTGAAAAAAGTTATCCGTCTTATTGCTCTGTAGGGAGTTGTTAAAGTGTGAGAGAATCTATTGTCTAATATGTATTGTTAAATTAGACTGGGGCATTAACAGAAAGCCTGTGTAGGTGCTGAGAGATGTGGACATGAAGGGTGTAGGAGAGTTGCACTGTGGGGAATGTAGTGTTTTCTTGACTTCGGTTGCTTTGATTTTAACCATTCTTTTTTTTTAAATATCACACAAGTTCATAATGAAAGTGTAATACTAAAATGCTGATGACTCCTATAAGACCATCTCTTATCCCTTTTAATAAATGCTTTAATTCTAATCTAAGTCCTCCAGTCTATAAATGAGGCACCGCACCCTCATAGACAATAATATTTATCTACTGTATTTTCAATGCAGACCATCACACCCTCATAGACAATAATATTTATCTATTTTGAATGCAGACCATTGGTTTAATGGAAACAGTGCCATATCCCAAATGCATAAGGGGACTAAAGTATTTTCTGTGATTTTCAGGTGCACCTGATGAACCCTGAGAATGTACCAAAACCATGCTGTGCCCCCACCAAGCTGCATGCCATCTCAGTGCTCTACTTTGACGACAACTCCAACGTCATACTGAAAAAATACAAGAACATGGTGGTGCGGGCCTGTGGCTGCCACTGACATCATCAGGTACCAGTAGTGCTTGGTTGAAAGATGGGTTGGCAAAGGGCTGCAACTGCACCAGTAACTTCCTGGGTGAAGTAGAGATCAAGTAGACACCAGTTTTCCTGCCCAAACCTTCAGCCTGCAAGGACTGTCCATTTACATGTTCTACTCTAATTATCTTGGGACAGCTCAAGACCTCCATCTAATAAGATAATTTTAATGCAAGGCATGAGACTAAGAGGGGACCAAAAACAACACCATATGGGTGTCATCTATAGGCAACATTAGCCCACTCCAGTGTTGAGCAACCAAGCTGTCTATCACCTCTCAGTTGGCTGTGGATTGGTGTCTTCACTTTATGGGTCTGCAAGCGAGTGAATGTGTCCGTGTGAGAGAGAGAGAGGGTAGGGGAGGAATAGTTAGTGTTGAGGTCTGTATATATTTTATGAAAGTGTTTGCATGAATGCCTAAGAGGCTACTGCACCTACTCCCACAGTGAGAGGGTGTGAACTGTTGTGGGACCAGTCTGAGCACTGCTTTTCTTCTGTTCATCCTCTCAGACATAAAAAAAAAATCATGGCAGATCGGTTCTCAGATGAGGTTCATGTAGTTCTCTACAGCACGTGGCCCCGGGCCGTTGACTCACCGAAAACCAACAGTAGTCGGTCTGTCATCCAGTGGGATGACAGAAAATGTGTGAAAATGGCTTGAGTCAGGTGGGAAAAGTTCATATTTTTCTTTACTCAAACAATCTAATGCTAAATATGTATGATTGGAAGCTGTAGATTCACATTTCCTTCCTTTTTCCTAATGTATTTTTTTTCCACAAGCCATATTTGCCTTCCTAAAATATAATATAGTGACTGCAGGCTATTTTAATAGTGCGCTGCTCCAAATATCCCCTCCGTGTCAATATTTGCCAGGCTCACGCTGCGCTGCAAATCACCAGACTGATTCAACATGATGCATGTCGTGGCTAAACTGATGTTTTTCTCCAAAGAAACGAAGACTAAAGCCGTATCCCTCCAACATACCGCATATGGCCAGCTCCATGTTGCTTTACTCACAAAGTTAACAAACGTTTCCACCCCTGACAACCCATCAAGAGATTGTGGAAAAACATTCAGCAAGTCAAAAACAGCCAGCAGAACGTTCCTGTGCCAGCTTTCTGAAATTAGCCCTTTGCTTTTTCAACCCTGAAGGTAAAATTATGTTGAGATTTGTGTCCAGTGCTGACATCTTTGTTACTGTGAGCTTTGAATGATGTGGAGTCTTTTAGAGAGCATATTTTAAATGAACTAATACCAGTAAGATTCAAAATACTTTATGTGCCTAACCAACCAAATTACAAAATATACCTCTGGTAAGCTGCTGTTTACATTTGTGATCATGTTTAGACTGTTTTTGTAAATACTTGTACATTCTCAGCTTATTTATTGCACATTTTGTTAAAAAGGAAAATCACACATATATTAACAGATGCAAGAACAAAATGAAAACTTATTTTGGAAAAGATTTATTATGAAATCTCATGTTACAACTTGCCATTATTCACTCTTTTTGTACAAAATCCATGGGTAGTGCACAACTCACAAGGAAAGAGAAAAGAAATCTGTCACTGGAGTTTCTTAGACCATGTGCTATCCATAAAAACTTTAACTGACTAAAAACTGCTGTGTCTGACTGTTTGTAAACCTGGCTTGGACAATAATCGGTGCCCTTTAACATGTAGCACTTATCACATAACCTGGATCAAAGAGCATTTGCATTGGAACAGCCACAGCCTTTCAGGTGGGTGCAGTTTACTACCCCATGAGTAATCACATTAAGGTGTACTGAAACAAACGTGTTGGCAAAACTGCAAATATTGTTGTATCCAGCCTTGTGACAGATTACATTTTCTTGGCCTCAGACTATTGCATGGATTAACCCTCCCTCTGTACAAGCTACATTCATGGGTTGATGGGTATATTACAATATATAGGGGACTAAAAAAAATCTCAGTATGATGAATTAATCTGTTTACAATTAAACAGCTAAATAGTGATTTATCTTGGTTACACATGGTGCTGCTTTTTCTACTGCATAAATGCTACGTTCAGATTGCTGGAGCCACTCAAATCTGATCCCCCCAGTTCACGAGCTCGACAGTGTTCACACCAGAGCTGGATTTGTGTCACACACATACATGAATGTGAACCACGAACAGAAAAGATCGGAGCTGGAAAAAAGATCAAAATTGAGCATCAAGGTCTGTAATGTGAACGTAGCCTTAGTCTGGCATTCTGGATTCTTGAAGATATTGGTCTCACAGCCAGTCAGAGAAGATGACATCTGTAAATACTATTTGGGAAGAGGGACAGTAAATTATACTGTATAGACCCACGATGCAGCTGGTTCAGTAAAGAATAAATCACAATCACAGTCAGAGGTGTGATACAATGGTAGCTAGTCCACCTGAGCTGGAGTCACATTCTGTCTGTTCCATCCTCACAAGTGTTGTTATAAAATTGTCAAACCACAGATGTAAGCTTGTCAATGCTGTGATGGAGCCTATTCTTTCCTTGAAAAGATGACCAGAAGAAGAGAACCGTTACAAAGAGCAGTGACTGAGGGTTCACCGCCACAATCGAAGGTGCCACACATGCTACTGGTGTTTTATCACCTGATACTGACTCCAAGTGACCCAACTGTCCTCTCCTCTGAATGCAGCCCTGACATGACAAATATAACACAAGAACTTCAGATTCACATTTTTGTACTACATTTGGGGATAACAAACATTTCACATCAAGCTGCAGCTGTTCCAAATAAGGAGAGTCTGTTGGCTGTTTTGGAATAAACTGATAAAACCCATCATGATCAGTGCAGGCCTAAGACCCTGAATGCTCAGTGGAGAAGAGAAGGATGGCTCACAAGAGTCAGACCAAACAGCAGTCAGACCAAACGTCTTTGTTCTCTGCTGCTTTCATCATCTGACTGTGCAGTGATAGAGCAAGAATATAGACAAACCGTTTTCTCTCTCAAACCAAATGGACAATGCTGCAGGCCAAATTTGGAATTCTGCACAAAGCAAAGAAGTGGGTCAGTTTGCAACCAGAAACAAATGCATCTCACATTGTTTCACATAAACATGAAGGGGAAAGCAAGTATGGTCTAACTGCACTGTAAGACATTTAACACTGTTTTTAAAACTTTTAAACAAGCACTGTTCTTTCCAGCTTATACTGACATTTCCCTCAGAGGCAAGTCAGATTGGCTATCACTGACATGGATATAAAGTGCCCCCATGTTCAGTGACGCAAAGTTTACAACCTTTTGAATGACAGCACTATAATTTTAATGGCTTGTGGTTTAACAATATATCTCATTTATAAAGCTTTATATTTAAAAAAGTCAAATGTCTATAGAAAGTAGGTCAAAAACTAAAGGTAGAAACTGGGACATTTGTCCCTAAGTGACCGACTGAGCAGTGCTTGTCAGACATATTACTTCAATTGCAGACAGCAGTGAGAAATACATTCACACTCCAAATACTTGACTGAATCACTCCATTGTTGAACACTGGAAAAAGAATGGTGGGCGGCTTCAGTCCATCACTGGCCGACTCCTTTGTGAATAGAACCCGAGTGAAGAGAGAGAGAGAGGCTTGGCTGCTGTAGGAGACAGAGCGCTTTCCTACTGGCCACATACAGTATGTTGTGTAGGTGAGCAGAGTGAACACTGACTTGACCAGTTCTATAGTTCATCTCTTGCTTGCCTCATCACGAAGCTGTGCAGGCTCTCCAGATCGCGGCCACCGTGATGCTCATCGCCCTGCTCCCCCGCCCTGAACATGATCAACGTGGGGTAACCTTGCACCTGGGGATAGAGGACAAAAAACACAACAGAGAATTATTCATTGTGCTTACTCCTGTTTTAAAGTATTCCTACTTTTGTCAATGTGGCACACAGTGTGAAAACATTCCAGAGTATCTGTCCACCAAATGTCACAGTCACAGTTTTTATACAGATAATACTTTTCTATAAAGACTAAAAATTACAGTGGCAGTGAAAAACCTGTCAAATTGAGATGCATCTTTATATACAAGATGTACTGTATAAAACAACACACCAAAACAGGCAGTTTACCATCATGACTCAGCACTCAAGTCAAAAGATAACTGAACTGTGGATCCTGAACTCTGACTCAGCAATTTCGCACTCAGACTGTATATAGCGACAAACTGGCTTAATGGTTATCCATACATTTCAAACTAATCTAAATAGTAATGGTATAAAAATCTTCATATTCAGTAACAGAGGTTCTTATCACTTGATTATATTCAAGTGAAAACTGAAACAGGACAGCTGCTGTACCTCTTCAATCAAAAATACCGATCTTAAACTGTTCAGTCATTTGTATTTTCTGATACTAATATTGGAATCTGAAGACAAATTCAATAAGGGATTTAAAACTAGACTGAGATTTTATATTTTATTATTGAATATCTTGTCACAGGAATAACATCTGACCATTTTTCTTTAATTCTAGGTTTTTCTACATGCTATTTGAAAATAACAGGCTATGACAAAGGCATTTGGTTTTTTTTTCTGCACTTGACTGCGACTTAAGTGGCAATAATTTAGTGAGGAGTGCATGGTGACTTGAAGGGTCAAGTTTAGGAGCTGGTCTTGACTCAGGACTTTGTAGCCCCAACTTGGGACTGCTTTAGATATACAGTCTGTAGCATCTTATTCAAGTACGCAGCAGTCATATTATTTTATGGCTCTGTGATAAAACTGCCATCTTGGTTTTATTGCATCCTGTATATACTGAGAGTTATAGTGGGTATGCGAGAGTTAGAGTCTGTCATGTTTGAGTTAGGTGGTGTCATATTGTGTCGATTGTGGATGTCATTCACATACTTACAGAGTACTTGTTGCACAGTGTGCGCTCAACAGTGCAGTCCACTTTGGCTATCTTGACATCAGTAAGGCCTGGAAACTCCTTTTTGGAAAGATCCTCCCATGTTGGAGCAAGGTTCTTACAGTGGCCACACCTAGAGAGCAGGATAACACAGAGTGCATCACTAAAACTAATCAATAAATAGTTTGGAGAAGGTTATTTTAGGGTATGATCAATATTCAGATTCATTCTCTTGACATTTGATTCAAACTCTTTTGACAGCACTTAAAGAATCATACAAGAAGCATTCTATTAAGGATCCACCAATACCAGTATCGGGTCCGATACCACCCTCTAGTACTCCTACTCGTACTCATAACAGTTGTCTGATATAACACACCAGTAACACCTTAACAGCAACATTATGTTAACTTCGAGCTGACAGGGCAGGCCATTAGGTGGACCACAATAAATTGCAGCAGTGCAGGGATTTTTTTTAAGATACTGTAAGTTACTCCCTACATTACATACACATCAACTCATCCACAGTAACTCAGTTCTCGGGCACTGACAAGCTAATTCTCTCTTTCTAAATATCAGTAGGATTTACATGTTACTTGTTCCAAAAATGGTTCTTACCATGGTGCATAAAATTTGATGAAGGTAAACCCCTTGGCCACCGTCTCCTCAAAGTTGCCCTCAGTCAGGACCAACACGTTGGACTGTAATGAGAAAAAGAATAAAAACTCTGGATATTAAAATATACTCGTGCGGATCTACAGTACTATTACACAGTCAAAACCCTTTCTGCTTAAAAAGGTTTCTCTTCACTTTGTATAGGAGCAACTTTACTAGGTTTAGATACCGTGGGTACTGTTTTGGATCCCACTGATGTTCACATCAACTTGTTAAAAAAAAAGAAGACATGCTTCATAGACTGGCATATGTGCAAATGTGTGACAGACTTTATCAGGTCAGTAACAGCGGAGCACCAGCTAAGAGGAACAAACTAGGAGATACAGATTCCATTGCAGAGATGCAGCCATGCAGTTTTGCAGCAGGAAACAGTTCTTCTTACCAAACTGCACTCTTACATGGGTGCTTTGTTCAGAGATCTATAACTACATGCAGGTAAAGATGGGAAATGTCCATCCCACAGATGCATCAGTGGTTGTACTGTGATATAACAGCTGCTCATGCAAAGTAGATTCCTACTGAGCATACCAGGAAATACACAGAACGCAGGAGGAATCTTTTTTGTGTACGACCTTTCTTTTCTCTTTTGTTCACACCCACCTTTACCTCTTCTGTGGCCGGCTCGTCAGAGGGAACCTCATTTGCTTTTTGTTCCTCATTTGGTTCCTCATTTGGTTCCAGCTCTTGCTGCTCAGCGACAGCAGCCTTCAGCTGGTTGTCCACAAAGTCTTTAAATGAGTCCAAATCTCTTTTTCCTTTGTACTGTTCTGTCTATGAAAAGGCACACACATAAAATAATTAATACCTCACTGAATAGCCTCCACAAGTATGGCAATCTGAAAAATGTCTTTACATAATGAAATATGGCACGTTCATGTTAAGACATTTTTATGATGTATGATGAAGGCTGGGCTTACTTTTGAAACCCTATGACTAAGAACTACAGACACTATTTTACACCATAAAACAACAACTAGCACAGGCTCAGAATAACTTAATGATCAAGTTGTTTCAGTGCTGACTGATGTTCATTGGCAACCATGTAAACATCACTGCTGCTGTGATTATCATGCCAGAATTTTTACAATGGTGGCAAGAAAAAGTAAGTGAACCCTTTCAAATTACCTGCATTTATGTATAAATTTGTATAAAAATATGGTGAAATCTTTATCCAAGTTGCAATGTATTTATTTATACATGCAGGATAGGTTGAAGTCTAAAGATTTGGAGAGTTGCTACCAATTCCAAAACTACTACTATACCTTTTGCCCGTTGTAGAAGAAAAGTAGTGTGGGATATCCCCTTACACCGTTGTCTGAACACACCTCATAGTGCTGTGTACAGTCCACCTAGGCAAGAAATACATGAACATGTGTTAAACTAGAATGAAACATCAAGGCAAACATTCACCCTGCAAATTTGCAGTATGTTTGCAGTTTTTATGAACCAAAAGGCAAACAGATAACATCTCATATGACCATCATCCTGTTCTGTCCAACACAAAGAGCAATAACGGTATAATAATTGCAGTAACAATGCTTGCCATCAAAGGTGTGTCACGAAGGCAGGATTACTTGCAGCATGAACCTGAACACAGCGGAAACAACCCACCTTTCCTATCTTGATGTCATCAGAGTGCTCAAAGGTGGTGGCCAGCTGCTCCCAAATTGGGGCCATGGCTTTGCAGTGGCCACACCATGGGGCAAAGAACTTAATAAAATGGGCACCTGAAACGAGAGGAGGAAAACCATATAAGAAAAGGAAACAGAACACAAAGGAAAAAGAAAACCAACATAAAACAATACATTTAGAGTCAGGTTTTGATTTGATGGACCAATGTACCAAACTGCATCCACTACAAATTCAACACAGTCTACCATATTTAGAAATACGCACCTCTTATACAGAGGTTTTAAGCAACCACTTTCATGTTGTTTATTGCAGCTATGCTGTCAAGAAATAAAGGTGCAGGCCTCAAAAATCCTTGTCATATCCTGCCCTTTTTAACTTTCCAAACAAGATTTTTTTTTTTTTTTTTACCAAAACACTCAACTTCAGAGGAGCTTAGGAACCATCATTTCAACAAGAGCACTGTTTAATTTTGTAGCCGTCATATGAGAATCCAGAAATGTGAAGTGAACAGAGAAATCTTGTACAGCTGGTTTACACTGACTAACACTATGGATTGTGGCTTGGGTACCCATGTGAAAAGGTTATGTAAATCAATACAATAAGGTTTGACTAGTGTGTAACAATGGATCCCCAAACACTGTTCACTGTGGCTGAAACCTGAAAGTGTACTTTCAGGTTTCAGCCACACTTAGGACAGGATGCAGCTGTAGAAATACACAAGCTCAGGTTTGCTACTCATTTGCCTAACCTCACTGTTACAACAGTACTTTCATGAGCATAGGCCAGTATATCTTAAACTAGAGCTTTACCTCTAGCTATGTGGGTCTTGAAGTTAAGCACAGTGAGCTCATGCATGCCCTGTTTGGGTTCTGGCGGTTTGGGAGGCTCCAGTTCACTTTCTGGTTCCTGGAGGGCACACAATATCAAGTATCTATGAACACACTGTCATTGCACTGCACAGGTCTACAGTTTATAAACTCGAGGTGTTAAGTGAATGAACTCACCGAGGGCTCCTCCTGGAGTGTCTTCAGCATCCAGGTCTCCAGAGACTGCAGATCTCTTGGCCCCTGGTACTTAACTGCCTCCTGGTCTGGCTTAAACAATTTCAGCCTGCAAGTAATACACAGAATACATTTTACATTTTAGCATGATAGACTTCACACAAAAATATTCTTGACCACAATGACCTATGCATGCACAGACAATTTTCTAAGCAGTCTATTTAATCACCACTACAAGCTAAACATCAGGAAAATTGTTCTTCAAGTTAACATGCCAACCACATGACTGCTGTGTTTGCACGTGCGATATGCAGTGGGCAATGGCCAAGATTTAAGAGGATAATCTTATGATACTAACATAATATTTAACTAAATGCAGGTCAATATGTTACTTATTTGTCAATGAGTGATGGAAAAGACTTGTTCTTATCCTTCATGCAACAACCACTGCACTGAGACATTTATACATATAATGTATAATACATACGTTGGGTAGCCTCTAACCCCATGGACGTTGGAGCAGAACTTAGTGTCTTGGACGCAGTCTACTTTCACCACGTACACCGGGGGCTCATCCATACCATTGTATTTGTCTGCCAGTTCATTCCATGTTGGCTGTAACATCTGGCAGTGGCCGCACCTGGACAGAGCAGTGGTAAATAAACAGTCATCTTTTTCCCAGACTAAACTGTGATCCTAGTTAAACACTATTATGGCACAAAACTTATTTGAACTTTCAAAGAAATATGAAAATACTTTAATAAGAGCACATGTGATAACGATATGAAGGTTTATGGTGGCATATCGGAGGTATCTTACTCTCAGAAATAACATTTTGATCGTGGTCAAGTACAGAAACATTTGATTTCTCAACTCTCTTCTGAATGATCAAAAATATTAATAAAAAAAGGAACAAAACGGGATGAACCTCTGATCATATCTTTGTATTCAAGACCCATCTCTAACGCTGTACCCATCTCCCTTTCATCACACTGAAGTTGCATTACATAAGGTAATAATCTAATCTTACTGTTCCTCCTTTTATTATGAATTCCAGTGGACATCCATGGACATGACACTAGTCAATCAGTGTGTGCCACGTAAGCGCTGCTTCCTATACTACAACTTTAACGGTATCTTACCATCTGCAGTAGCTAGCTATGTACAGTGTCACTGGGTGTGTTAACTGGCTACGTTCCCAGTTCAAATGTCAGGAAAAGTTTTCAACTAAATACTAGCATGTAGCAAACTGTTAGCATCATGGATCAAGTTGTGTAAAGACTCTCAATGCGCTAAACTGCAGTTGGCGAACTGTTTGGCTATGCTACTTAGCAGCTAAGCTAACTGCACAGGTTGGCCATAAGGAAAGGGCTAACTAGCCAAATGGGCTGCCTGCTAACTTGCCGGTCAGCTCTAATCCTAGTGCAAAAAGTACAGCTTTTTCAATTTTCCGTGAGATGTTAAAGAAGGACAAAGGTTACTACCCATACATTCATTCAGCGTCACCTGGAAAAAAAATGGTAACTGTTCACTTACCATGGGGCGTAAAACATGACAAAGTGGGGTGCAGTGGGCACCGCCTGGTTGAACATCTCCACCGTATATGTGTGCTTGGAGTGCTCATCGTCTTCTGCACCGGCGTCGCAAAGTGCACCGTAGAACAATAACGAAAAATAAATAAAACACAGTACAGTGTGTGTGCAATTCATGGCTAGGACCATGGTAAATCTCTACGGGTGAATACTGTCCCTGCTGGTGTGAGCAAATCTACTTTCAGCCTGCCCGCCTCCGTGGGAGGTTCCGTTTAAAGGAATGTGGACTCTGGACATACGCATGTGGGGATTCTTGTTACTGCAGATGGGCATGCAATCATCAATGTGGGGATTCTTGTTACTGCAGATGGACATGCAATCGTGTTGTGTGGTAGTCCGCAAGCGCTTCGCCAGTTAAGCTTGCATTCACGCACCGCTAGCCAAGCGTGTCCCCCTTCACTTCACCTGGAATCGATGCTCAGAGAACGAGCTACCCATGAATGGCTATGGATTTACATAGCACAGCAGTCCTGCAGTTAGCGGAAATGCATCTATAAAAGTTTAAGGACATAATCAACAGACATGGACACGTTTAAGAACTGTTGGGTGGGGCATGAATAGCCTACTAAGCTTTTATTTTCCGGAGTTGTGTCAGAACTTTAACACTTGCCAATCTATTACTTTTAATTAGACGATAAGGTTGCATATCTGGCTATATTATAAAAGAGAGGCTACTTAAAACCAACCTAACAGCATAGGATACAATACAGACCTATGTGCTTCTAGATAATCAATTGTTTTGTCAGGCTGATTGCTCAGTTCTGCTTGCAGCTGAAAACATTCCACTTATGATGCACCCTGGGGTCCGATCAGACTCCAACTGCACTGGCACCAAATATCAGCAAAACTGAGGTTTTTGTGTGTGCCTTAATGTTCTCCATTTTTAAAGTACCATTTTACCAGTTCCTGATTTTGAACTTCATCTTTCCTTTCTGGAATTTAAGTTTTTGTATATTGTGACAAAGGTAGGCACAGAAAGATGGATTAAGATTGTGTATAATCAATCCAGTGAAACTGGCACTGCTCTACTATCTCCCTCCATGATATTCTGTTGGCTGCAAACGTATTGGTGTTATTCCAGCTTCCCTGTCCCATGTTTTCAAATTATGGTCCTTAAATTATCCCTGTCTGCCACCTAGTGAAGGCTACAGCCTAAGAAGGTTTTATGAACAAGGAACAGTCATTTAAAACAGCCGGGCATGAAGGGTCCTCTTGTGTGCTAAAAGTCTAAAACACCGGCTGTCAGGCCAAAGAGGTCACTTTCTTTTGCACAGAGAGAACATAGACAAAAGAAAAGCACAAAAACCAGGGTTAACATTGACTTGGCTTTTTGAGACGGAGGGTGATAAAAACAGCCAAAAGACTCAAATTTGATTTACATGTGGCATTTTAGTGTTGAGAGAGTGTTATGATAATTTCCCAATACAACTGTAAATTTAAGAGACACACCAGAAAACCAGAATGCTGCATTAGAAGAACGAGTAATAGTATTATCTTATATAGTGGAAACCTCACCAAGGCCATATTTAATATAACATTTTATAATATCAGTAGGCCTATGCATTAGAAACAAAACAAACTGGTGCATCGTTACCCTTGACCTTTTCTGTTTTCAAATTTGTTTTCTGTATTTATACTTGCAGGAGTGACAGGTTGTCCTTAATAACCCAGCTGTTCCCCAGGGGGCTCACCAGCCTCACCTGCTTGCAGTAGTCACAGGCACTTGGAGACTTGGAGGTAATTCCTGGAAATGCATCACATAACCAGGAGCTTGACTACTCAATACTGCAGCAGCGCCTGGGACACACCCTATCCACCCTGACAGGTTCAAATGAGAGCCAACCTTCGAAGGAGTATAGAAACTTCTTTGGTAAAAGACTGAACTGAACTAGTCAGCTTCAGAGGTGCTAGTAGAGGGGTTTTCTTTGGATAGAGTCCGGATAGCTCTTTCCCCATTTGCTAAACTAACATACCACTGGCTGTAGCTTCATGTTTACCTGATAAATATGAGAGTGGTATTGATGGTGCTCTGACAAATTTATGAACTGTGTCAACATGGAAATCTTAAAAATATTGATCTAATTAATGTTAAAGTTTAAATACATGGGAGCAACAATAAAGGCTGTCCTCTTAATGGTTGTGGACTACCTCACAAATTCAGTTCAAATTACATCCTGCTTTTTAGCACTGCCAAGGAAAACACCTAAGAAACTTTAAGAGGACTCTGGAATATTTCAGAGACTATTTCTGACTAAATCTAATTCTTCCATGTAAACATATGGGAATCACCCTACTGGGCACTCAAGACTTTGTGTAGAAATGCTTTTAACACTGTGTTCCCACAGTTGGACATCATACAATCAGGCAGGTGTGTTTCCATTCAGAACACAGAGATTCTATCACATCTGGGACACAGGATGACCAACGGAGGATAACAAATGTCATTTGCAGATAGCTTACTAGAGTCGCTGCAGCAAGTACTTGTGTTGGCAAAAGACAGTGTGGAAATGGCTCGACTGGAACAATACCAGAAATAAAAATTAAAGGAGAGGAATTGGAAAGCACCTTGCCTTTCATCTGGGTGGCTAAAAGAAGGATTTTCAGAAATGAGACAGCATGAAAGAGGAGGGAAAG